ATACTAAAACTAAATTGGAAGCATATATAGGCTAGATACCTCTTGTATCGATTAATAAAATTATTTTTTGTTGTTAAAAAAAAAATTAGTTAACAATATTTAGATAGCGTTGGATCCACCATGATGCATAAACAGAGCAAAGCACGAGGGAACATACTATATTAGCAAAACGGAAAACATTGAGTAAAGGAACATAGCAATACGAGCAACATAATTACACGGTTCATCATCAACAAACTCAAGATACAGAATTCTTGCATAGGTTTTTCACACTCGGCCGAATTGGCAGAGATAATGCCCCCTATCAATCTTCAGAATACTACATTCTGAAGAAATTCGAGGATTTGGACCACTAGCAGCGAGGTCTACATCACTAATAGTACGGGCTGTATCGTGTTGCCATTCTCAACCTTGGAATCTTCCTGAAATACATAATGAAAAAGGATCAAGACTCTGCATTTACGTCGGCAGAATTAAACACGTGGAAAGGCTAACTGGATGCAAAGGTACAAGGGGATGCATACCCATATCCGTAAGGAGGATAGAAATAAGGAGCCACAAATGGTCCCCTCGCTCGCATAAATGGGTTGGGGCGACGTGAACGAAATTGCTTCATCCCAGGCACATTGGTCCGCTTGGCAGTAACCTACAGAGAAATTAAAAAGAACCATTAGGTTAAAGTAATTTAGAACATGTCTGGTGAAATTTGTAAGTGCTTCAGTTTTTTGACACTATTTATGTTTCATAAGTTTAAATTTTTTTCTTAAAAACTTATATTTTTTAATTTCTTTTTAACCTTAAAAAGACTTTAAATAGTAAATTTTGAAAATAAATAATAAATTTTGAAAAGTTTCAAACTTTTACTTTTTATAAACTTTCTTTTTCCTCACTTCTTACTCACTTTTTATTATTTCTGAAAGCAAAATTTAAATTTTTTTCTCTAATAAAAATTTAAACTCATAACTCATAAACAGTATTAAAAAAGTAAAAACTACAAGAAACTCAACCAAACAGGCCCTTAATAAACAAAACTTGACAAGTGAAACCAAAGTGGCAAAACCTGCTACTCGATTCTTATTTTTCAATGAAAAGAGAATACACACTAAAGGCAAATAGATATTACCTTCAATTGGCGGCCATGTAGTTCAGTTTCATTCAGAAGAAGAGCCTCATGAACAGCCTCTGCTTCCAGAAATTCCACATAAGCATAACCCTTTGGCTGGCCATACTTGTCAGTACGGATGGTGACCCTGTTTACAGTCCCACAAGACTGGAAGTGTTGTTGAACTTCTTCAGGTGTACATGCATAGTCAACCTGCAGTCACAGAAGGTTTCATAGGTGGCTAATAAAAGGTTAACATACAGTATATGGCATGGTAACATTTTACCAACTACCAGTCTTCGATGTTATAAAGAGCTCTAGTCAAATGGCCAGTATAACAACATCCCATTCGAGGAAATGGGACAAATTGAACAAAGAAATACAATCTTATTTAGCATGAAAAAGTAGAGAATATCTATGTGCCATCACCCAGAATCAAACATTAAAGACAACATATGTCATCGAACAATTTGGTATTTGTCAAAACTTGAATAACAAAAAGCCTGGCTGCTAAAGACACAGTATCATCACAAACAATAAAATCCCATTCAATAATACAGACATGCCCAGCATTATCTTATAACAAAAGTTTCTGCAAATGAATAGAAAAATTATTATAGTCCTTATTATCAATAGAGATCATGAACCTTACCATAGAATAAAACATGGCATATTTGCACAAAATTCTTATGAGATATTAGTTAGATCCCATGATAAGAATGTCTGAAGCAATGAGCTTGTTTATCTTTCATCGCTATTTCTAGATCATAAGCTATGAGTCTTGTGACTAAAAAGTTAATGTTAATGTAACTCATCTGAGTAGAAAATAAGATAAGAGATAAGGCTTACTGGAAAGAAATCAGGATCCCATTTTATCCCTAGTGATCAAACATAAAGGGATCAAAGACCCCTCACCATAAGCAGAAAAGGCAGCACCAGCAAAAGCAGCGGCCAGCTTGCAACTAAAACAGCGAATGCCCAATGCTAATCTCTCTCTCCAAGGTACGTTGTCAATACTGAATTGAATCTGGGTTCAGGGATCTTTGACTCAAATTTCACCATCCATTCCAGCTCAAGAACTCATGATTGTACCCACAGAAATTCTACTTTTTCCTACTATTTCATGTAATATTGACATGGATACTTTTGCTTATTCTTTATTTTCACTTCCATTTATTTTTCTAATTTCTCCTCAACCTAATCAAGTTTTCCATCCTGAACGGATAGCTTGTATTTGTATTTTTTGTTTTGTTTTTTGTTTTGTTTTTTTGTTTTTGTATTTTTTTTTTTTTTCCTTATTAAAGTATATTCACATGAGGTAATTCACTCAACCCCAGAACAATTAAATCAGAAAACTTGAGAATCAAGCTTTGACCTGCGATTGTAGTAAAAAGCAAAGTCAAGAAGTGTTTTAGACTAAAGAATCCTTCACAATATAAAAGCTAAAGACCACAGCCACACAGAAAAAAAAATGCAGAATGCTCACTTGCTGACATTAACGGTAGTGAACTTGAGAGAATTCCAACTCGAAGGACAAAAAGAAAAACGTAAATAAAGTAAAGATTCCAATTATTAAATTAAACTAATTAAACTATTACCAAAGACACTTGATGAAATCCAAACAAAAAATCTACATTAAGTTGGCTAATATGTGAATGGGCACACCCACCAAAATGTTCATATAGAGCAGTCAAATTATTATATTTCTTTACCCTCCTGGCCCAAGGAGCATATGCAATGCAGGCAGCTGGAGACAGCATGAAGGTCCAAAAACCCAGCTAACTACTTACTCAAAAACCATCTAAAGTCTAAACATAACACAGATGGAAAGAATAACACAACAAGGTGACCCCAAAAGAACCAGCAATGCAGGACAGGATCATCTAGATAACCAAAACCAAGGAAATACAATCAATTTTTATCCGATGAGTAGCCTAAAATAATACCCAAGTTCATGTCAAGAAAAAATATGCCATGCTAGTGGAAAGTTATAAAAAAAATTGACTAAGAATCTTATCACACCAATCTTCTTCCACCTTAACTGGCACTAATGAGGTGACTGCCCTGTCTCAATACTGTGAAAGAAAAAAAAAAGTCCATCATCTTATAAACATGAAGCTGGTTCCAATGCGGAGCATCCAAGGCCCATGCACTGGCCAAGCTGCACTATTGGGTTGCTCTGAACTGCCTCCAGATATAGAACCTTACTTATCAACTTGATTTTCAACCCCACCAATTAAAGCATAATTAGTTTGAATTTGAATTACAGAGATATAATAATGTTTGAAAATTCATGAGATGGGGACATCTATCCCATCAAACTATACCATCTTCTGAACCTTGTAACTGAATAAGATCTGCTTCTACTAACATCCCATCAGAGATGTTTGTTTAGAGCCCCTACTCAAATTCAGGCTTACAAGGAAATAATTAGTTATATGTACTATAAGAACGACCACTAACTTAATTTACTAACTTGTAACAGCAAGAAATCCAACATATGAACGATAATCTAGATGGTTATGCAAGAGCAAGAAAAAAGAGAGGTAGAGGCCTTACATTGCCCACAAAGACTGATCGAGAATCTATTTCCTCTCTATTTGCCTGGGACGTAGCTGCTGCAGCAGGATCTATTTGCATCGAAAAAACCCATTAAACCAGTAAGAGAACTTCCAAAGGTTTAAAGAGGATATACATCCACAACAAAAATAAGTTCCCTAGCTTCTAACTTTTCAGCAATAAGGAGGTATAATACAACTACATAGGCAAGAAAACCAGATATACAGATGGACTGACGATCAACTGCATCACATTGGCATCAGGTTATTGCATAACAGTTGAACTCATACGTTTCATTTCACTTAACTCCACCACAATCATAACCATTTAAAATGCCAAAAAATTGTAAAAACTCCAAAGAAACCCAATTCCAGTTTCATATTTTTTTCTCAGTATTCATAGCTAATAAACCATGCTTGGCTAACTTCCACCAGAAGCTATTTTGTAAAAACACAGATGAAAGCAAAACAAGGGTCCAAGATTGTCACTGATTTCGGTATCAAAGATTGCTTTTTTAATCAAATTTTCAGTTTACCCCTAAGAATCGTAAGAAACCCTAAAAACAACACATCAATAAGCGGCAAAAGCAGCATGCAATCCAAAACCAGATGAAAAGCAATACCCAATTGATTAAAAAAAGAAGAGGGAAACAACAAAGAAATACCTTGGACAGAGCCCATCTCCTTCTCAACCTTGGCCTGCATCTCTCTAAGAGCCGCGGCCTCATCGTCCATCTCCTTTAACCTCCTCTTCATGTCATCTAGCTCCTGCAAATTCACCGTCGCATTCCTCTCAAAAATTTAGAGTTCTTACCGAATAATAAGAACAAATTAAGCCAAAAGGAAAAGAAATGAAAGAAGGTTTGGATTGTCCGTACAGTTTCAGTGTTTTCTGCAGCTGCCATGTCTACGTCTTCTCCTTCCATCTTCCCTGTGTCTCTGTCCGTACAGCTCCGATCTATTGACGGCAGCCGGTGATCGTGATTCCTTCTTAAGGGGAGAGTCTGAGGGCGATCCCATCTATTTATTCCTTTATCCTTTGTAGCTTGCCCACGGTGCACCCCTTTTTTTTTCTTTTTTTTTTTTTAGTATTTTTTGGCATCGCTCAAGAGAATAAAAATATAAAATAATAAAAATAAAATTAGCACGTATTAATTATGAGTTTTATAAAAAATTATAATATAATTTTAATTTATATTAAAA